TAATAATATAGATGACTCCGATGCGATTAGGAACGCAAGCTTCGAGGAAACGGTCCTTCAGAGCTGCTTACCAGGCGTTTCGTCTCCCCCCTGTTTCACCCTCCGCTTGGCTGCTTGCAATATTCCAGCTTGCCTGGCAGCATTGCGAAGCCCCATTCGATCGTCCATCGATCCTCGGGGTTCCCTCTTCTCGTCGTTCGTTTGATAAACGCAGGTCGGAAAGGGCCGTCTCCTTCGCTCCATCGGGACTGATCCCCCGAAGCTCTCCCTTGAGTATCCGCTGCTTAGCACACGTTCCGCATACATTTTTAATCGATTCCGACACGCTTTCCGTTCCGGCGAGCGAGTCGAGTCGGCGGCGCGCGGCGGCGGCGGCGGTGATTTCGACTCGACCGAGTTACCGCGTTTTCGCCCCGATGATTCGTTTTCTTATCTCTCGCTCGTTTAGTCGTCACACGTCGTTTAATCGAGTTTACTTCGTTAGGGATTTGTTTTTATTTGCGTGGTTTTATTTCGTATTTTGTTTCTCGTGAAAGTAAAAAATTTATAGCGCGCACACACAGGCGCGGTCAATCTGAGAGGACGTAGGATGTTACACGTTCGAACCATTGTTCGCCGTGTCCGGCGAAAGTTTCCGTTAATTCCCGCGCAACCGCGTCGTACCATTTCCACCGCGGCCGTCGCCGTCGAGAAAACGTAATTACGCGTCGTACTTAACTTCCAGAAATTTCTTTGCGCGTAAAATTGGAATTTGCGGAGACGGAGACTGAAAAAACCGGTTAACTGTCCGGCGGACTCTTCAAGCGAAATTAGTCTATGGTTACAGAGTCGAGAGGCGGTGATAATGGCACTTGTTGGTGAGCGAAGCCTGACCGCGCTCGGGCTTCGTCCTCTCGAAATAAAGTTACCGCCATTAACAAAACTAGGTTTCTCACTTTAACTCGTCCTGAAAATCCGTCCGCGTTCCGCTCAAAATTGGAGTCGCTAAATTGACGGCAGTTGCTTTCGCGTGTATTTTTATAAATACACAATACACATTTCAGTGAGAGACACAAGAGCAGGTCTTTTTTTTTTCTTTTACACAAAGTCGAGAGATTATATACACGTATATAATATTCGCAAATAAAACACAAAATGAGATATCATCACATCATCCGTACATGTTAGGTAAATCTGTGTTTAATTAAATATTAATACAAGACTTGTACAAACATTTATAACGAAGCGCTCTAATCAAAAGTAAACTCGTGTAATTTCCACATCACGCGTGCGGATATGCTGTTAGACGGAAAATTAAATTGTTATTTACATAGTAAATTATCATAAAGACTAAATAATTTAATTAGAATGTATTATTAATTTCATATCATTTAGATTCTTCGTCTGTACGTTATTGCGCACGCGCGTAGGTAGATAATTTTTAATAATCATAATACGTCTGTCTAAAATCAAGTGTGTGGGACGCGCTCCGTGTGTATTAACGTCGTTATACCCGTTTGGATTCGCGTAAGTATTTTCGCGGAGCATGTGTGCGCGCGTCGTATATATACGTATGAAGATAAATCGCACATCTTTTACCTTGTAACGAATAACCCGCAAACAGCGAATAACGTTGTCCCCGGGACACAACGCGACGCACACCGTTCTCTCTTTCGCTGCGATGGCGTTTTCCCTCATATGTTTGTGACAAAAAATGTACGATATTTTAAGTTACCTGAGATTTTTTCAGAAGACACACAATTTATCGTCGGTCCCCCGAGCTTCCTGCCACGGCCTTGGATAACCCTCCTCCCCCCTTTCCCCTCCTCCCCGTCCCCATCATCCTGCCACGGGCGGATAACCCCGGCTATGTCCGCGCCACGTTCGCTCTACGGCGGCACTCTCTTTCATACATAGCTGACATTTACCACCTCCCATATCCACCCTCTCTCATATTACGCGCTGAAATAGCCCTCGTCCCCCGAGCGAAGGCGCAGCAGGACGTAATAGCGTTCTCGGAGAATTACTTATACCCTCCTGTGACCACCACTCATCGCGGCCAAGTTTCTCTCTTTCCACGGAGCTCTTTTCCTGATAAAGTCTCTCGCCTTGTTAAAAGCGACGTCGTCACCTTTTATTCTCTTCCCTATCATCTCTCGTCGCGGCGATGAAAATAATCACAAATAAAGTGCGATCGTGACGTTTAAGTCGTCATCGCGGCAACGGCGATTCTCGCGATTCTCGGTTTATTTATTTCGTGAAAAAGAAAGTGTGACACACACACACACACATATCTCGTGACAACAGTTTCTCTTGTTCTTTGCGCGTCTCTAAGTCACGCGGAGGTGTCACGCGAAGATCGGTTTTCAAGAAACTGGTCGGAGAATTGAGAAGAGAAAGAGAGAAAAAGTTCTACTGACATTTTTTTTTTCTTTACGACCCACTTAAGTGTCCCGCCATTTACGTGTTTCACGTACGTACGTACGTACGTAGCGCAAAAGAATTCTGAGGTAAATGTACTGTAAAGTGATAAGTGAACGCGACACATTGACACGCGGGACACCGTAATTCCCCTCTCCTCTCTCCTCTCTCCCCCCCTTTATAATAAGGGGGCAGTAACGTCGTTATGGCTTTCACGCGAGTGGTAAACCCGGTTGCATATATCACGATCCGCCGTCGAGTACGTCCCATCCGTGCGAGCATTACGTAATTGCAACGGAACGTTTATGTATAACGGAATATTACGAGTTACGTAACGGGCGGCATAATATATATCCTAATAAGCGCGCGCGCGCGCACGCTCGCGCACGTTCCATGCACAAAGTGAATTTCATCGTTATTGACTTGCCGTTTTTCCGTAATAAAAACGCTCTCGAGACATTCGTACGAATGGCGTGCTGGCGATTCGCTCAAATGCAGAAAAAGATGAAAGCGTCTTTGTCTCGCGTTCGGTCGTTTTCCACCCTTCCTTCTCCCTCCTAGCCCCGTTTTACATTCCTTTTATTTTCCAATTATTAATTCTTCATGTGATAATTCATACGCTTTTTATCCAATATTGAAATCGGAGAAAGAGTTCGGAAATTTATGAACATTTTTCCATTTCAGTTGTTTTGATCGCACGCTTGTTTAAATATTATTTAAAATATTATTTAAAATTATCAATAAAAGGTTATACGTAGCAATAATAATAATAATAATAATAATTCTAGCGACGTCAATGATAAAAAAAAAAAAAAAAACAATATAGAGAACCATCACTGCGATCTGTTTAGCACGGTTTTATTTCATAACGTTGTTATATCACGTAAAACGTTTATTAACATTTGAGAGTTTGAAAATTTGTGTCACATGTGTGTAACACGCGTTGAAAATTGCCTGTGACAAATATACATTATTCATAAATATTAATTTTCAGCACTGACTGCGTAGTGAAACCGATAATAGTCGTTAACGCATTATTAGAGAAATATGGATTAAATATATATTTGCGTTTAAATATATATTTCGTTGTGTGTGCGCGCGCAGTAGTATGTTAAATTTGTGATTAAACGGGAAAGGATCTTGTATTTTAAGATTTTATCCTCTTGACACATTTCTTTTATACTTCTATATACATATATATATATATATATATATATATAATAATAATAATAATAATAATATATTCTATATATATATATATATATATATATTATAATAATAATAAAATTTCCGTTTTGTACTCGTCACGTAATTTAATCCACGCGATCCTCAAATAGTGTAAAATAAAATTAAATAAAAAATAATTGTTCGTTAAAATGATGAGTGAAAATAATTTATTAGAATTTATACGCAATCAGTTGGGTCACAAAATCGTTCGTTTGGTACTGATATCGGGTCATTAAGTATGAAACTGATTGCGTATAAATTGCAATAAATTATTTTTATTCATTATTTTGACGAACAATTATTTATGACCCGATAACAAGTGACCCAATAACAAATAAATCGCGAATGTGACGTTACCTCTCTCGATCGAACATTTTTGTTTTCGTTCAATCACATGTAGTCCGTGAAAAATCCCTGTTGTCAGCGGATTAATTTCTGGCGTGTAATCTAGCGCAGTTTTTTTAACGTAACGTATGTTAGTCGCGTGACCGGCGTAAAAGTAAGCGACTGATAGGAACGGTAATAATTTCATATATGTTGCGGTTGATACAGCGGCGCTGACCTTTCCGCTGGCAAGAAAATAGGAACCTTCGCTGTACGTTAGAGATAGAAAGAAATAGAGAAGGGGAGATTAGAAGTCACGTCGACTTGCGAACCGGCACGGTGCATCTTACCGGTGCGTGTGCATGTCGAGAAATGGGTTCCAAGAGTTCCGTGTATGCGATGCAGTTTCTCCTCGCGCATTACGCTTGACTCTCCATCGGTCGCGCGTTACACAGCTGAGAGAGAGAGATGCACACTTTGCGCATGTAGAAGAGACTTATTTATATATTTATTTAAACCGTATAATGAGTTATACGGTTAACAATATTAACAGACACACACAAGCGTGAAAGAAAATTAGAAATATTTATTTATTTTTGCGAACATTTCTTTTTCCTTTTTTTTTTCCTCGAGAGAAGATAAAAATTGTTTCGAAAGCGAGAAAAATCACGCGTTTCTTTTGGCTCGAGTCACGGTTCCGACACGTTTGTTTGATTGTCCGATTGTTCCAACAACTACGTGCTCTCTCTCCCGCATATCTCGCGAATGCACAATGGCTGACCTCGTTTCTTCCGAAACGTAGGCGCGATCGATGGAGGGTCACAGTCGCACTAAAATCGCCCGAAGTGTATCGCGTCACCGTCGAAATTTCGATCGAGGTAGTCTGCGTTAACGTCGTCGACGGGTCGTGGCATCGTCCTCGCGGTGGCGTCCTCCCTCGATTCGCCGCCACTATCGATCGCGGTGACGGCGGCGGTGGTGGCGGCGGCGGCGGCGGCGGCGGCGGCGGCAGCGGCGGCGACCGAAGAATTCGGGGTGCCGGCTAGGGGGACGTGTCAGTTTCTTTGCGGTTTTATTACACGGCTCGCCGGAGGTGGCAATTTGTTGAAGCCCGCGTTGTCAAAGACCGGAAGTAGGTCCCTCACTCTTTGTCCCGCGCCGATCGACGCCAGCTCGATCCATCTGCAATGGCGAAACACGTGAAAGGGGGTTCTTCCTCTCGTCTTTTTTTCTCGGCCGATCCGTTTCCCCCCTTAATGCTCGCGCGCGCAAACCTTTTGTGTTTTATTGGCAATGTTCCATTAAAGATATTACGTAGCAAGGTAGAAGAGCGAATCGCGTAATGGCGCCGCCGTCGGTGTTCTTTCAGAAGCTGCTTTAAAAGTTTAAAATAGTGCAAATGCATGTGCGTGCTTGTAAACTTATACATATACACCGCGCTCGCAAATCTGAATTTTTTAAAATATTTATATAGACACGCGTAGATATATAGTTTTTATATCGCAATCGTCATAACCAGATCGGGGACATTTTAAATTAAAAAGTACTTTTTACGAGTTTTACATACACACGTCTCGTGTATGAAAAATGTGAAATCAATTTGACCGCACTGTGAATGATGGAATTGATAACAGCAGATTCTGTGTATAATTCGGAAGTAATGAATGCTTTAAACAACCGCCATTATACCGGGGAATCGTCGGACGCGGTCTCGACGCAATAATAGTTAATAAATACCGGGGAGGGGGAGGGAGGGGGAGAGTAATAAATATCGGTCGACGCGCACGACGAACGATATCGGGGGCGCCATGCGTAATTTTTAACGCGATCGCGCGCATTTGTCGTGTGTGTATCACGCGGTCGCGTCGCAACAAGCGCGAGAGAGCGAGAGAGAGAAAAGAAGCATGCACGAACGAATTCACTTCCCACCTGTTGTTTTTGTATTTGGCGAGGGGTTGAGCGGCTGTGTGGGGCGTTTCGGTGGGGAAATATGTGGCCCCATAAAAATCCAAACCACGGCTCAGCAACATCGAGGTCTCCTCCACGCTGGCCAGAGTAACCCTTATAACGGGTGGCCCCGTATAAATTGTGGCAGGCTCGTTCAGATTCTGCGCGTCGCTCTTTAGCTTGTCATTGATGGCCTTCACTGATTTATTTAACACACACGATTTTTATTGCATGCGTTTGCAGAAAGACGGCGGTAGCGCTTGACGCGCCTGCGCCGCGATAGCACACGTCAAGCGCAAAATTGTTTAAACCGCCGACGATTTATTATCGCAATTGACGAACGCGAACGCGCTTATAAATCAAACGGTTAATCAAACCGATGCTTCTCTCGCGAGATGAGACAAATATCGCTATCCGGGGATATTGCGTCTTAAGTTACGAAAAATAGATTTAACGCGCTTAAATAATGTATGAGAGAGAGAGAGAGAGAGAGAGAGAGAGGCAAAAGATTTTTGAAATCGCGAGAAAGCGGAGAGAGAGATTCCCGCGTCTTATCGCGTTTACACCCGCGAGATACGTGTGTTTGCACATACGTGTGTGTCAAAGATTGCAGTTTTCCAAATAAAGAGCGAGAGATACGAGAAATATGGAGAAGAAAAAAATAACATTTTCGTGACTCACAGACAGTTCCCGTATTCAGGGGCAGCCTGGTTACTTCGACGATAGATCGATATTTGTAGAGAGCGTGCCTAATATCGTCCTCGGGCAACTCCTCGGGCACATCCAGAACGTAGACGGTGAAGATCTTCGCCGGTCTGCACGGTATAGCGACCTGTGTGTGTGTGTGTGTGTATGTATGTACGTGTGTATATTATGCAATGCGATATACGTCACTTCTTACATTTATTCCGTTAAAAAAAAGAAAAAACAACACAACACGCGAGAACGGGAGGATGATACAGAAAAAAAAAAAAAAGTAGCAAGCTTGTTTCGCGCGGAGAACGCGCGAGAAGAGATAATGAAGTCTCAGAGAGAATGAGAATGAGTGTTTAACGATTTTTATTATTTAATAATGAATTAACGCGCAACGCAAATGCAGCATGCACGGCATTCGAGAGAAGATAACCGAATTCCCGAGATGAATACGGAAGCGAGTTAACTCGCGCAAATTACTGTCAAGATATCCTCTCGTTGTCTTTCGCGCGAATAAAGCACCCTTTGTACTTTGTTGCATATATATACGTCGGCAACATGTGTTTGTGCCACGAGAGCGCGTGGAATCCATGCAGATCCCGAGATTAGTTGCACACCATGGGATATTTCTCTGTGCGTCAGAGAGTGTACTTTAGCTTTGTAAGGGTCGTCGGACTGCTAATGGTGTAATGCAGCGCGACTGCGGATGCGCACCAAGTCCAAAAGTAAAATTTTACCATCTAACGTACATTCGCGCGCGCGCGCGCGCGTTATAAGAAGGTTATCTCGTCTCGAGGATTTGATTGTTATTCGAAACGAAAAATGCGGATTTCTCTTGAGATGCAACGAGGTCGTAAAAATTGGTTTCTACCTTCTTGTAGAAGCGAGCTCCCGTCACTTTGTGAAACCCCTTTTTATATACCGCCTGGAAGTCGTCGATGTTGCTGAACTTGAAGAGAATGCCGGTGGCGGTTTTCGTCAAAGAAAATGCGCCTCTGGATCGTGAAACAAATTGTTTTCATAATGATTAGAATCAATGCGAGGAAACATTATATAGAGAATATTTTGAGAAAAAACTTTACAAGGTTTATCTAAAAAAAAAAAAAAAAAAAAAGAATTCAAGAGAATATGATTTTACAAAAATATTTCAGAGATGATTATTTTCTACATTTATACGATGAAGAAAGAAAGAGAGAGAGAGAGAGTAAAATTTTTGCGGCCGAAAGTTGTAGAGCTCGATGTTTACTTGCGAATGAATCCTTGCCGTGTGCACACACGAGCTCGTCGTCGATACGCAAAAAAGTTTGCACACAACGTCGGACACAATTTGGCTTAATGGTTTTGTTGTCCGACCCGTTACTGCTTCTACTACTTCACACGCGCCAGCTGACTTAACTACTTTTAGATCCGATTCTGGCGCAAAGCACTTTACGATCTCTTGCGGATTAAGCTAAGTGAAGGTCTAAGTAATCTAGACGTTACAGCGTTTGTCAATGCGGGCGCCAAAAAATTTTAACGTATTATTTCTTGTTTTTGCGGATGTCTCTCTTTCTTGAGAAGAAACTCAACATTAGGTACGTAATTCCACTTCGTGCAAGAACGACAAAAAATTGTATAATTAAACTTTTTTTGTACTCGCAATTCTTATTTGGTTTCGTCCAAAAATGTAACACACGTGTTATTGTTCCAATTGTGGTCCAGCTTTGAAAAAAGCAATTCTTTTCTTCTCGCGATTGAAGAAAGAGTTCAGTCGTTCGCACCGCACTTTGACAAATTAATAAAAAAAAAAAAAAAAAAAAAACGTTAAGACGCCAAGACTTCTTTTACATGATATTTTCGAATTTTCGACATCTTCAATTTCTCCCACCCCCCTCCCCGCGCAAATGCACATGTATCATTTCGCGATGGCAGTATAAACTTGTCGGAGGATAATCGGCGAGTGCAAAATGCGAGATAAAGTAACTAAAAAAAAAAAAAAGAAAAAAGAAAAAAGAAAAACCGATCGACGACACTTCGAGCTCGTTCATCATAGTTATCGGAGTACGGTTTAGCCGTTCTTCTCTTTCTCTTTTTCCCTCGCTCTCTCTTTCTCATCGAGCGGTTTGAAATCCAGGAAGAAATTCCCATCTCGAGCGTTGAGGCGGGTCCCCGAAGTGGTTCTCACCGGAAGTTCATCTTCTCGCAGATGGTGGCGGCCTTCTCTATGCTCAGCTCGTGGCTGGGGGTGAGAAGAAAGGCGCCCTTGGTGAGGAAGTCGGTCTCGCTGACCTCCGAGTCGGTGTCGCCGTGATCCTGCCAGTCGGCCGAGCCCTCCTGGTTTAGGCGCAGCATCGAGCTACTCTTGGATGTCGACATGTCCTTCTCGCACTGCGCACTACCGCTCTGTTCCGGTTGCGACATCTTTTATAGCGTTGCCAGCGAACCGAGGAACGAATAATCTCTCGCGTCGTACGCCTCTCGAGAAGGAAACGACGTCGCGGGCCCACACCCCTTTTGTGATTCTTATACACGCTTGATGCGTTACGCGCAAGATCGATCGTTCGAGAGAATGTCGACGCGCAAGAGAAGAGCGGACATACATACGTCGTGTCACAATGCTCTGGATCGCGTTTCGCTACGTTCCTTTTATATGCGTCGCCGGATGGATGAGCGAGTCGACGAATCGACGACGACGTAGTTCGGAAGATTACCCGGCAAAAAAGCGATCCCGACGCGGCTAGTTGACCCCTTGATTGTTACTGACGCGCACGCGTGTAAAAGAAAAAAAAAGACGTAGGATCTCTAATTGTTTAATTGTTACGTTGCAAGTTGCAAGTTTAGCAGGGATGGAAAAAAAGTGTAACTCTCTGTGCTTTTTTTTGTAATATAAAGATCTTACTGTTTACGCTAATGGTTTTTGCTCATTGTTAGTCGGAGCGTTGAACGAAAAATACGCGCGCGCGTGTATTGCTTTCGATCTGGCAACATAACATTCGTGCCGTTTTTTAACGTTTTAGCGTAGCTTTTATATTCGATACACAAAGAAGCTTTGTGTTAGATAAGAACAAAGGGAGCGCGAAATACTCTTTTCTGACCCGGTTATACTTTCGGAAGCGTCGCGCTTGCTGCGAGCAGAAAAAAAATGTCAAGGATTACGCATTAGTACACGATTTTTTTAAAAAAGAAAAACTCGCTCACGTAATACTCGCGCGTAATACTCCAATACTCGCGTAAATTAAAAAAAAACTTGTAAGGTAAATGTCTCGTCAATGATCGGACGAGTACCGCTAGCTGGAGATTTATGAAAGAAATAATTATAGCGACGTGTATATTTATTTCGGAACACATGTAAGTTTAACAAAACAGAGCGTGAGATTTGTTTTTTCGACGCGTCTATATAAGTAACGCGTATTCCGAAACGAAAACTTCAAATTAACAACGACGCTATCGGGTTCTGTGACAGCGACGCGAAGACGATTTGCATGAATGTTTAAACGGAGCAAACGTACCACCGCTCACGCACAGGTGCATAGCGGAAAGCTTCATTTGAATTCAATTCGTGTATCTTCTGCTTTCGGAGTTTGTACTCGCGAGAATCACCGTGTACCGGAGCTCTCTGTATTGATTTGTCACACATAATCGTCGAGCCGTTTAAAGAAGATACTCCGGAAATGTGTCCGTGTTGTACACGTGTGTGAAAATACACATGGAAAACAGCGATATTGTATTTCAGAGAGATTTTTAGCCCGATGTATAACGTCACTTTTTTACTTTTATACGATCGCGTTTTGAAATATTTGTATATATTTGATATGTCGTCACTCCCTACGTATAATTACATAAGTGTCACATATGGGATTTTCAGTTTATTGCATAGTGACACTTAGAAAGTCATGTTCTTTATGGTCACCAAATATTAAAAAAAAATATTCATAAGTAAAGTACAAATTTGAAACCGAAAGATCCCTAACTATAGGGAAACGTATGAAGCTTTATACTTTTAAACTGCTCTCCTCTAAAATTTGCGTTTTGGAGTTACGGGATTATACGTAGAGAGTGACGATGTTTTAATATAAGATTTTAGAGATTTGACAAATTTTCGTTGTTTATATTCAAGAGTTGTATCCAAATATTTTGATATTTTTGTTACAGATTTTGCAAATTGACATCGGAGCCAACCGAAACCACACTACCAGCCTCATAGACGTGTAAAGGTAAGTTTAGATGATTAAAACACGCACGAATGTAGCAATAGAAAATCCCATTTATTGAGAGAGAGAGAGAGAGAGAGCGAGAGAGAGATGTAATATTTTAAATGCCGTTATATTCACAGAGAAATAAAATATAACTTTCAAAATACATTTTATAAATATATATAAAAATTTATATATAAATCCGATTCGAGCGCGTTAAATGTTTCAATTCTCTGAAACTCGTTTCTCTCTCACCAAGTTCATTTATCCCGGAGTAAGTCGGTAAATCATATACGCTAACGACAACGTAGCGCGCGCAGTGATGATGTAGCGGCCGTTTATCGCGCTCGAGATCTCAAAAGGCATCAATTGCGGGTCGTCGCCTCGTTCTCGCGGTCGTCAAACCCTTCAGCGTACGTATTAGCAGGCCAATCGTGGTTGGTATCAATCCTGGCGTGTTATCAAACGCCGGGCGCGCGCGCGTGCGAATCCTTGCGAATTTCGAACCGAGACCTCGGTAATTGTCGGTCATGTTAGGCGTCAACATCGCCACGGATCGGAATCGCATTTACAATCGCCGCAAATTCGGTCGAAGTTTGTGGACGACGCTGCGCTACGGCGGCGCTGCCATTACAACACGGCGAGTAGGGAAACGCGCGAATATCGCGAAACATCCGTTTACGCGCCGACGGCAAGAACGGCGATTGTATGTGCCTCGATTTCGATTGTTGTTCCCGAGAGAGAGACGATAATTCACGGTGAGGTTGACAATGCCGCGCGATACTTCATCGTCAATAATCTACCCAAGCGCAATCATCATCCGGACAACGCAGTAAGGACGATTGCGCGCGGGATACGTGGGCGAGCCAATCAACGATGCTCTTCGCTCGCTCGCTCGATCGCCGTTTTTTTTTTTTTTTTTTTTT